GTGACCAAAATGGCATGCATACTCAACTTTGCAGTGTCAAAGTTCTTCTCTCTCTCCTGTCTCTCTCTCTCTACATGTGTGTCTGTGTGCCCATCCCATGGTTAGAGAGGATACATGTACTTTTGAAATCTAAGATAAATATTACAGGACGCACAGAGAAGTCTTTTCGTGGTTATTTTACATTAGTATGTTGCTTGCATGTTCTATTTATGTTTTGTCCAGTTTCAAGAGTAAATGGTGATTAGGTATTCAATATCAATTGAACATCATGCTTCAAAATATTGGCCAAGTCCGATACAACACGACCGAGTCATATTCGACTTGACCACCTACGATCCAATGGTGGTTCACAATACACATATATCACGAATCTCACTTGAATTGCCATTAACTCTGATACAACTCGATAGAATCAGTGGAACTTGGATGCAACTCGGTTCACTCGGACAAACATGTAACCTGCTTGGACGATCTTTGATGTAATCGTAGAGATCAATCACCCACATTAAAAAAACAACAAACACAAACCACCAAAAGAAGTTAGTGTAGGAACAAGAAAGAAAAAGAAACCATATGAAAAACTGAATATGTCTCTTTGAAACCCGAATGCAAAGTTGAATCAAAGCAATTATTCAGTCACCCGCAGTATATCCTACAAGAAGAAGAAGGAAACTGAAAACATACCTGCAAAATCAAGCCACTGCGAATTTGACTTCCAACTTCTTGTAACGATCGCACACCAGGTACACTCCTCTACTTTGATCGCGAAGGGATTTTTCCTCTCAGGTGATTTCCCTCTCGTTTTCTCTATATGTTACTTAATTGCAGAATGAGTTTTGATGATTACATATGTTTTCAATGCTTGTACAATGCTTAATGTGACCTTACCATAGGACTAATTCCTGAGGCTGAGGGATTCAAGGTGGAATTTCTATGGTGCCTCTTACAACAATTTTGCATGCAGTTCTGCACGAGCTATTTTTGAGATTAGTATCGTTATGTTTGTTGTTTATATGTGTATTTTTCCTTCACATCTCTGCACAACTATTAAAGGTCATTTGTGTCCCCTTCTCTTGAACTGTGAATGTAAGTTGGCATCTTAGTTGTCTTAGCTCTCAATTGCTTTGCGAGACAGGTTTCTCGTTCAAGTTTTAACTTACTTTTCACTGTTGTTGTGGCAGCTGGTGGAGTTGTTAGACACTCCTTTGCATAATTATTTTAAGCAGAATGACTGCTTGAATTATTTCTTCTGCTTCCGGTGGGTTCTTATACAATTTAAAAGGCAAGTGAGACAGTTACCTGGATTAATTAGTTAGTAGTCATCTTTTTATATGGATATAAACCAGGTTGCTCCCCTACCCCTCTTTCCCCATTTTTGCCCATACAGTTTTTTATGAATAAATCATTTTGTCATGAAGCTTAGTCATTGTTTGGTAAACTGTCCCATCAAAAAACTTGTTTGGTAAACTGGAAATTTTGTTACTTCTTTAATAGCTGCACTGGAGTTTATAGAACTTAAATTTAAAACAGCATTGAGTGTGTTTGAGAGTTGGTGAAATGTCTGGGGTGCTCGGTCTTGTATTTTAGACCTTTCCACATAAATATTTTTATACTTACTAAGTGATGAGTAGTTGTATGTGATGCTCTAATTCAGCAAACCACAGAATTTTTTCCAGTTTTCAACAGGGAATTGGTTGTCAAGCAGCCCCTAATCAACATATATGAAACTAACTTTCTGCTGCAAGGAATACGACATGATATAGCACTTCTCTTTTTCAGTGATTCATGGGTAGGATCTACGGTGAAAATGTGGTTTTGGTACATAGTTTAAGTCATCTTGGAAATAGAAACTTATCGGGAACAGAAACGTTGCGGAAACAAAATGGAAACAGAAAAAGTTTGAATTCTGATTCCCAAACCACAGAAGAAACATCCCGAAACACTTGCTTCATACTAAAACATTTGAATTTCCATTGTTTTTAGTTTCCACAAGAGCCATCTGTATGCTGTAAGAAAGAATGTGAAATTTTGATATTATCTTCTGAATTCTTCGGTTTGTTCCATGGCTAAGTTCCCTCGTGTTTTTCAGGGAATTTGAATACGAAAAAACAATGCGTTTGTGGGAGGTGTTGTGGACACATTACTTGAGCGAGCACCTGCACCTGTACGTATGTGTCGCAATCCTGAAAAGATATGGCAGTAAGATAATGGGGGAGCAGATGGATTTTGATACACTCCTGAAATTTATCAATGAGCTTAGCGGTTGCATTGACCTCGATGCAACCCTCCGGGATGCAGAGGCTTTGTGTATATGCGCCGGTGAAAATGGTGCAGCTTCCATCCCTCCTGGAACTCCACCTTCATTGCCTTTGGAGGATGTTTCATTTTATCCTCAACAGGATGACGATGATGTCTTGTGAAGATTATCTCTACTTGTGGACTAAATTTCTCGGTTCTCTCCTCTCGGTTGTAACCGAAAAGTCAATGATTTTTGAGGCATTGTAAGTTTAGACTAAACAAATTTCCGAGTGAAATCTGTTCGATTGGTCTCGCTATCAGATGCCTTTTTGAATTCTGTGTCTTATCCTGTATGGAAAAATTTACGATATTTCAAAAAATTAAATTAGAATAAGTTCCGATTTAATGAGGTTTGATATCTTCGATGGACCCTGGGATCGATTTTATGGATTCCTGTTAAACATTTTCCTGGTGTCATCATCTACGACAATTTTAATGGATTCCATAAAAGTTGATGTTCATAAATTAAACATTTGATTTGCTCTACTGTTTGTGCAGTATTTAAAACGTTTCCAAAAAAAAATTCTTTTAATACATTCAATTTTTTAAAATTCTCCTTATCTCTAAGAATGTAGCAATTATTTACGAAAAACTCTGAAATATTTCACAATTGGCCTTTTATAATTCCATAATTCATACTAGGTAAGTAGTGCTTTAAGGCACAATACAACGTAAGTGATAAGTGATGTATTTGAAGAAAAATTTAATGTGAATGATTTTGAGGGAATATTGGTGACTGTTGGATGAATTTATTTGAGACCGTCGGATGTATTTATTAAAAATATATTCTATTTTATATTGTAGAATGGTTTTGTGAGTTCCAAGTCGAAGGTAAACTCTCTTCATTGGATGGACGACGTATGATTTATTTATTTTCGTGTTAATTGATCTGTTATATTTTTGAGTTATAATATTTTTGGGTTAGTATCCAAAACTAACACTCCTGCTGTTCTTTACTTTAAGACAAAGAAAACCAAAACTTGATGCTTATAAATATCCCCAACAGAGAGACTAGTGCACGTACTGGTGGATTTTGTGCCTCGCATGCATTTGGGCATATGAGAAAACTTAGAGAGTGACATTGTTATGTTTGACTTTTGACAATAATTTAACAAGTTGTGTCTGTCGTTTGTTACCAGAAATTAACAATTTTAGGATGTGTTTGAATGACATATCGATCTGGATTGAAAATTATAAAAAATATTCTTTTGTATTCAACTCAAACCTACCTATTATTGGATTGATTAAGATTTAACGACTACATCTTATTATGTCTAGTGTTTAGATAACACATAAGCATTTTTGCAGGACTTATGAAAAATAATGATGGAATATAGTATCAATGATTATTTTGTCTCTAACCTATCTAATCTACCACTCTTTAGTTTATAAATTAGTCTTTGACTAATTTTAAATAAATTTTTCTTATATGTAATTTTTAAAAATATTGTAATTTCATATCTTCTAGACGGGTGTTCATATATTAAGAGAACTATTAAGAATTAATTCAAGCTCTCATTAATTAGTGATTTTATTATTAGTTGTTAATTAGTCGTAGTCTAAATGAAATATTATTTTATTAGAGTTAGTTTATTATTTAAATTAGTTGTCTTGTTAGAGAAGATGTCTTTGTTTTCTGGAGGTATGTCGGCAAAGAGTCTTGCTTTAACAAAACAAATTTGTTGAAAATTAAAAAAAAATCATATATGTGAAAAAATAGGAGGAAGAGACGAAGTAGAGAGATAGATAAGAAGAGAACAAAATAATTTGGTCATTTGCATTAGTTATCATGTCTGGTAAAAAAAACTCAACCCTTCTTAGGTTTCAGTTAACCATGTAGGTGGATTAAAATTAACTTTTTAAATTGAGTAAGGTTGAACTTCGAATAAAATTTCAAATATATTTTTTACTTACTAATCATAGAATATATGGATCCTATCCTCTACTTTAAACATGTTCCTATTCTTTACTTTGGGACGGGGAAAAGCAAATTTTTTGCCACGTCTGCATTAGGGCAAACTTAGAAAGTGATATTTTTATATTTAACACTAATCTATCCTATTTATTTCTTATACTATCTAATCTGTGTTACTTTTGAATTTATGACGTATCGTGTACTCTCATTATGATATAAAAAATTAACGCTCCTATTCTATAGTTGTGGGGTAATATAAGCCACGAGTATCCCATTTAATTGATATAGTATAAAGAAAATATCTAAATATTTGTTTTTATTTTTTATTTTATTTTTTGATTTGATATACTATGAAGAAAAACTTTGTTATAGTCATTTTTGTACATTCAATGTACTCTACGAATAGAGAAATACATAGAGTTGAACAAAATAAAATAAGAAGTTAAATAAAATAAAAAGTTAAAAGATTTTGTTGAAATTATTTGTTGGAAAATTTCCCCAAAAGTTAATCACAGATTCTTTTCTCCATCGGAACAAAAGGATCGTTACGCTTATTATTAAAAAGATGAATTGTCTATCAAAATTTTTATTTCGGTACCGTCTTGACATTTATCATTTTTATGAGTATTTTTTTTATTGTTGTGAGTATATTTATTACTGTTATAGTATTGAATTAAAAGTGATAAATACACCCAAAAAATTATAAAAACACCGATAAAAATAAAAGTATTTGCCACAATAATAAGAAAAATGCACCCACAAAAGTGATAAATCACAAAAAAAAAAAATTATTGTAAAAACATCTACAAAATTATAAAAATACCGATAAAAATAATAAATTTTAGAGGTATAACACCGATTTATTTTATTTCGTACCGTAGTTTTAAGTTCTTTTTTTTTAATTTTTTTTTGTGATGTGAATTAAGTAACTTCAGAATTTTATAAGGACAATCTGATTGGCTAATATGGGTCATAGTCGTTTGACTTTTAATTTCACATATTATACAAAAATTATACGATTGTGATACAAATCTAAAATAACAAATACAATATAACCCATCTGAAAAATGCTATTTGAACCTTGCTGTATACATTTTATTTGTTGACATAATGAATTATAGTTATTAAATTAATAATGAATCTCAATTAATAATAGAGTCTATTTTCAATCTAATAACAAAAAATAATAAAATCAACAAATAAGGTGTGGTGTATATAACAATGGTCTAATCCCTCCTTGGCGATTCACATTCATAACCAATCCTAAAAAAGAAGGATTAGCTTTTGATTGGTGAGTCAATATCGGTGGATTGTTCACATATCCCTAATAAAAAAAGTCAAACATTGATTTTCAAAACTTTGGAGCAATCTCCATGTATTGATCCAAAGAAAATCCACATAACTTAAGAAATTTTTAATTTTAGGCACGACGACTTAGTAGAGTGAAAAAAAATGTGATTCATAAAGTCTTGCGTCTCTTTTCATTATACTCTTATTTTTTGGAAATAAGGAGTACTACTGCAGATATTTATGCTTCATTTATGAAAAGGGGAAAAATTAGAGAGATAAATAAAATATCATATTTAATAAAAAAAGAAAATATGAAAGATGGAAAAGTGGATGCATTAAATTTCTTTCTAATTCACCAAAATCAATCATTCTAAAATCGAAAAGAAAGTGGATAAAAAATTAATTATTTGTGTTGAGATGTATTTTATTTGTTTATATATTATGTATATATTAATTTTATATAAAAATATAATGACAAAATATATATATTTTTAAAAAATTAAAAAAAAATTAAATTAAAAAAAAAAATTCATCTTAACTAGGGGTGAAAATTTTCGACTCAACATGATGACATAACTCGAACTCGACAGGAATTTTATGACACGAACTTGATTATAATTCGACACGAACTTGAAAATGACCTGACACGCGAACAAGAAATATAAAAGGCTCATAATTTTATGATTCAACACGAATCTGACATGACATGACTCGATTGTCAACCCTAATATTAGACCAAAAAAAAATTAGTCATTTTTATTTTTCATTCATCGAACCAAACACAAAGAAGAAAAATGTATTATTTTTACTTTCTATCCTTGAAGACTAGAAAGTATATTCCTGTTATTTTTTATTTTTTCTACTAAACAGAACATTTAAGGTAACCCTGATCCTTTACTTAGACTATAACAAGTCGGAATACAAATTCGGCCAAATAAAACGGGGAATTCGAGTTCGAGTTTATGAGAGTTAGGGCAGTAAAAAAAAATAGATCTGACAAGGTTTTAAAATCACAAGACAACTCAGTTTAGGGCTAAGATCGAAATCGAGAAAGGAGGTTTTTTTTGTCAAACTGTGGGCGGTCACAATCACAAAAGACTGGTTTTTTTTTCTCAGTTAACTTATAATCGACCCCATCTATAGTTGGTTTGAAAAGTATTGTCACATTCAAATATTAGTTCTTCATATAAAGGGTAAAATGGGTAGTTTACATTGATAAATTTGATCGAATGAAGAACCTATTTTGTGTCTTCACATCTTTTTTTTTTATGTGATTTGGTCTAGTTTTAAAAATTAAAAAATGAATTTTATGAGAATATATAAAAAAAAAAAATTAGTAGGGGTTGTTATTGTAATTATAATAATTATAGTATGTTTTACTGTTCTTCGTGTTGTGTGGTGTACCTCGTCCCATCCCCATTTTCCTATAAAAACGTACAAAAAAGTTCAGTCAGCAGGAGGAGGCGTTAATTGTGTGCTGTCGTCACGCCGACAAGACATATGTGGTTCATAGCTCACGAGATATTAATTTAACGTGGTATATATCAAGATATCATATAACGATAAAATGATTCCAAAAGGAATTTAATAATATTTTAATCAGCGTGCGTCCCTCTACTTTATCCATTTTAACGTGACGTCTAATAATTTATTTTTTATTACAAAAGAACTACGGCACATCTCCTTAAAAACCAAAGTGAGACAATTCCTATATAACCCCCCACACACACCCTAATAATTGATGTGTGGGACTTGACTACGGTATCGGAAACAAAAAATTTGATACCATAATTTTAAATTTTTAATATTTTTTTGGGTATTTTTAAGATAAATATTTTTTAGGAATTTTTATTGCTGTTGTGGTAATTATTTTTATCACTTTTTTTTTGGTATAATAGTTATAAAAACATCTACAACAATGATAAAAATATCCACAAAAATGATAGATGTCAATATAATACCAAAATTTTAATGTTATTCGCACTTAATTTAATAATTTTATTTGGTGATATGATGGATTATAGTTACTAATCTAATGATATAGAATAATAAAAGAAAAGTGTTATACTAATTAAATTGATGTTCAAATTTTGTATCTCAAATCAATATAGGTAGTTAGATTAGTGAGGTCTACTAA